TATAAAGACTTAGGTTTCGAACCGCGTTTATTAAGAACGGGTTTTCTTATTGATATTATTAATCGGTATTATACGTATCCCTAAGCTTATAAAAACTACTTTCTTAACGGTAATTCTACGAAGTTATCTTCATTTTTAAAGCGTTAAGTCGGTCGTAAAAGGCTTATATATTAACTTCTTAACTAGTATTTAAGTAGCCGTAAAAAGGTCTAGGTTACGAGGGAGGCGGTAAGTTTTACTACTACCGCTTCTCTAGGTACTATATCGCCGTTCCTACTATTGATTCCGCTCGTTTCGATATTAATCCGTAAAACGATTAAATAAAAGAAGGTTAGTCTAGCTTTTTGTTACGGTTTTACGAGCTATTCGTTAAATAAAAGCCGTATATTAATGAACTAAAGCTAGACGAGGAGAAAATGAGAGATAGTATACCCTATAGGCCGTACTTATAACAACTGGCCTTATCCTCTGTAGGTACTGGGGGTCTGATTACGTACCATGCCCTAGCACTAGCCAGGGCCCTATAATGGGCACAGCCTATTACATATTAAATTACCAAAGCATACGTGATGAAATATTATTAATTTAATCGAGTAATTATAGAAAATTCGAGTATTAATTTTACGATATTTTCGATCGGCTTTATAACTACGTTCATGATTTATTATTAACGGATATAACGTAAAATGGGTTCCATTATGGGAATAGAAAGCGATTATATTACTTTGAAAACGGAAACCCGAATAAATTAATTTTAAATTTAATTTTAAAACTGATTATTATTTATGCTAAACGAATAGAAGAACCGATCGCTTCTTATATTTTATTCTAGGTATATTAAGGTAAGGAATCTTTAAAGTAAGTACCTAAGATAATATATTATTATTTAACCGGAAAGCTAAAGTTTATATTCCTGGACTTAGGATAATTTAAAAACGAAGATTTAATATTAAAATAAGAAGAGGTATCTAAAGCTATACCGGAAATTAACGTTATTTAATTAATCGAGCGCGAATATAACTACGAATTATCCGAAATTAAAATCTTAAGTTATAATTAAACGAAAGATTTTATCGATAACGAAAGTTTTTACTATTATTAGGATATTATTAAACCGGGTTTAATCGAAATTAACGTAATTAAACGAGCTAAAGGGTTTAACGGTACATATATCGAAAAGGAAATATTTTATTGAAAGGATATAAAAAGTTTTATTAATATAACTAAAACGTAAACCGATTAAAGCCGGTAAAAACGTTACTTTAAATACGAACGCTTAACTTAAGAAAATAAAAATTATCGACGAGCTATTAAAAGAATTTTAATTAGAGAAGATTAATCAAAATAATAAGAAACGCTTTAAGGTTTCGTAAGACGACTTAATTAAATTTATATACGGGTTTTCGGAAAAAGTAATCGAATACCGTACGACGCGCGTTATAGAAATGAACGAAGGTTGGCTTGAGGTTATGAAAATTGTAAAGAAATAAGTATAAAAGGATCGGGAAAAAAGCGTTAAAATATTTAACGTATTATAAAGTACCGCCTTATTTATCGATCTTTCGAATAGAATATCGGCGAATTTCATTATCGCGAAAGATATTAAGAACTATATCCGGCTTTTCTTTAAGTTAATAATTAATGTAGGACTTAACGGAAACGAAGTTTTCGCATTGATAATAATCGATATAGAAATAATCTAATATAATCTTAAAAAGCTACGTTAAGAAGTAAGGTCTTCCTATAACCGATATGAAAGTACTTAATCTTATTTTTATCCTTTTTTTCCCTTTCTTTTTTTATAGCGTCGATATTTATTCATCCGGAGTAGGTTCACGAAGCTGTACTTCGGGGTTTAAGCTTATTTTCACCTTTCTGTTTTAAGATATAAGTAGATCTATACTTTTCCTCTTATTCGTATTCGTATTATCGATTATTAAATTTAATAACTTCTTATATGAACCTTTTGAGCGTTTTAGGCTAATCTTATTGATATATTTCGTCTTTCATTATTTGTTAAATCCATTATATAGAATATTAGAATTAATGTTATTTCGTTATATCTAGTTTTCGTTACTTAACCTTTAAACTCGATAGCGTAAGCGTAGGCTTATTTAATCTATACTAAACTTTTTAATAGTCGTTTTACCGTTCTGGTCTTATTGGGGGTTTTAAAGATAACTTCGATTTTTCTTTCAAAGGCTTCGTATTTTACAAAGATATCCTTCGTTTTCTTCCTTATATTATTTAGGTTATATTACGATTTTAAGAGCTATTCGCTAGGTAAAAGTTATATATTAATGATTTAAAGCTATCCGAGGAGACAAGAAGAGGGAAAGTATACCCTATAGGCCGTACTTATAATAGCTAGCCTTATCCTCCGTAGGTACTAACGGGCTAATTACGTACCATGCCCTAGCACTAGTTACGGCCTTATAATAGGCATAGCCTATAATAGGTTATTCTTATTTATTAAAAGATCTTTAATAAAAAATACGAATTAATTATTAACTTTTTTATTAAGCTTTAAGTTACGGTTAAGATTTATCTACCAAATAAAATGAAATAATTCTTATAAAAGTATAGAAATAACGTATTCTATATAAAAAATCCTTTAAGATCTCTTAATTTATTATATTATTCATATTATTTTAATTTATACCCCTTTACCGTCGATAGTATTATTAGGTTCTTACCTTTTAATACTTATCCTTTTAATCTAGATATATTCTTTTATTTTAATTCCGCGAAATCCCGAATTAGTTTTATTCCTTTTCCTTCTAAGCTTTCTAAGAATATTAAACTCCTGAAATCGTCTTTAAGAAGATTCGTTTCTTTAATAAGAAGAGAAGAATCCCTTAAGGTAGCTAATTCTCGTAAGAATAATCCGCCTTTTCTTTATAAATAATTATCTTTACGCTTTTCGTTTCCCTTTAAAAAATCGCTTATATCCTTCTTATTTAATTCCGTAATTAAAGAGTAATTAAAGTATTAATTATATAACCCGCTTATACCGTTAATAATATTGCGTAATTAATAAGTTTCTTAATATACTACGGAATTAAAGTTTAATTAAGAAAACATTATACTCTATATGCTTCTTAATAATTCATTTTAAGGTACTTTTTAAAACTAAATTATATATTTAAATTAATAATCAAAAAATAAATATTAACTATTTATATAAGAGATATCTTTCGCTTTCTATAAATGTTAAGAATTAAATTAGTAATATCTCTTTTCTTACGGCCGGTTATAACCGTCGCTAGTTAAATACCCCCTTACCGGCTATATAGCCGGCGCTAAGGCAATAAAAAGGTACCGATTATGTAATACGGTAAGGAAGAATAATATTCCGTAGGATTAGCACTTAGTATTCGTACTACCCTGCTTCTTTTACTAATACTGAACAGGAGCAGCGTAGGCACGCTGTGATGGAGGCACGAGAAAAGGACTGCCTAACTGCTAACAACTGGCCTAGTGCCGATCACTATAAACAGCTATAATCGGTTGATCGGCTAGCTAAAAACGGCAGCTAGGAAAGGAGGACTAGAAAAGAAAGGTAACGAGGATAGCGAGAAAAGGCATGGTAAGAAACGAGTAAATAGCTATAAGGTCGTAATGCTTATAGGTCTAAGTCTAACTAATGAAAATATGAGTACGGGACCCATATAAATATACATCGAAAAGGCTACGTGGCTTAGATCCACCGCACCACTACAATACTTGTTAGTACTCCCCTACCCATGGTTTCTAACATATAAACCCGACCCTGATTCCGTAATAAATTAAGAAATCCTATCGATGCCTTATATTACCAGTAGAGTATAGGGGGTCGTAATAGTTGATAACGTTATTATATAATAATATCATTATTAATACATCACGTAGCGAGAGAAAGAGCAACGTGTGCGAGAGAGCGCGCGAGGAGCTATCTCACGGGCAACAGGGGGAGGAGCAAAGGAAGGAAAAAGGTTTTATTCTATCTAAGAACTAACTAAAGGAATGAAAGCAACAGGAGCGTATATATAGAGGAGGTCCTGTTGCTAAGGTAAGCAACGAAGAGGCGCAACCTCTACGTAACATAATACGGAACCTAAAGAGATAGCTATAAACTATTAAAAACGGTATGCTTATAAGAATTATTATTACGTTTGGCAAAAGGTTAAAAACGATTACGTTGTAATTAAATACCTATTGTTAACTAAGAATATTACCGACGGCTTTACGAAGCTATTAAAGATTTAGGAATATTAAAAGTTCATATAATTTTTATATATAGAGGACTTATAATAGCCTTACTTTTATTAAAGTAGTAGATAATATTAGGAAATAATAAGTCACACTAAGGAATTTAAGAAATCATTATACTATATAAGTTATAATAGCTTTACCTTAGGTTAAAAGAGCGTATAAGCGCGCTAGGGAGGTTACGTATAGCTTTAAGAATTAGCCTCTACTACTATAACCTAAATAGTTTAGATAAACGGCTTACGCTATAACATATGAAAAACCTAAATAGCTACTATTAAATACCTTTTATAAGCTACGTTTCCTAAACTTCTTTTCTACGTTTAACTTTATAATCGAAGCAAAGGAATAAATTGTTTATCATATCGCTTAATACGCTTAGTAATATAATGTATTAAGGTACGCTGTCTTTTCTTATAGAGAGTAAAATTTGTCGTTTTCGACAATTGTAACGTTGGTTTTGGCGGACCTAAGCGCTATTGATATATAATAAGCTGTGCTTAAGTAGTAGAGCCCTAGTTAATACTACGGCTTAATACGTAACCTCTTTTTTAATACTCATAAAAGTTAACTTAGTTATTATAAGTACGGCTTATAAGCGCGTACGTTTTCTTTTTTTTCTCTTTGGATATCTTTAAATTGTTAATCTATAATCTAGGTACCTTAAGTAGATACGAGTTTTTAATAAAACTTTTATAATTAATTATTTTAATAATTTATGCTTTCTTTATATTTCTTTATCATAAACCTTTCAATTAAAAATTTTATTTTTATTTTATAGTTACTAAAAACTATAATTAAAAAGCAAAAACTGTAGTAGCGTACTTGAATATATATTGATAACTATACTATAACTATATTAACTCATTTTATTAATAACTTCAGTAAGCGCAATAAACTTAATGTAACACTAACCTCAGTATATAAACCCATAGTAAGTTATTTATGTTTTCTTTTAAAGTTTACGCGTAACCCTAGGACTTATTCAATAATATGCTGCTAGGCCAGTTTTCCACTGTCATGCCGCTGTACTCGGGTCGCACTGAAGGGCCGGCGAGGCGATCGGCCATTGCCTCATCATAGCTCGGTGGTGCTTCGTTATACAGAGTTGACATCTCTGTACCTAGCTGTGGCGGGTATAGCGGATCGAGATTAGGCTGCGCCGGCCTCGTGTACTGATGTGGTTGTAGTAGTTCCTGTTGCGGTGTGAATGATACCGAAGGGACCGATCGAGACAATGACATGACAGGTCGGGGAGGCGGCTGCGGGGTGAGGCTTCTTCCACTGTTAACCGAATCAAGGAGCTCTTGTGGAGGCTTAATCCCTGAAAAGACGTCAATGCGGGACAGTTTGAGAGGAAGCTGAATCGTCTGCGGTAGAGCGTTTTGGCTTCCCTTGGTCCACCTCGGAGAACCAATATTACTGCCTACAAGTAACGAGGCCGAATCACGCCAGCTGAGAGTAAGCAAAACCTCAATTTCGTACCGGCGTGCTAGGTTACATGTGCGAAAGGAGGGAGCAACTGTGTTAGGAAGGCGTCGGTCACGCCATAGGTTTGAGGGAACCTCGAACTCAGTATCAACCGGATCGTCCGGCGACCCGAGGGCAATAGTAAATGTATTGAGCGGCGCTGACAGTAGAACCCACGTAGTTCGCTCGGTGTGCTGCAGGTCGTGCACCCGGACCTGCGTATACCCTATTAAGCTGATCTCGAGACTCGTTAGATAGACCACCTCGCGGGTCGGAACTAGTTTACGAGCGATCAGCCGCAGCGGTAAGGGCCCATTACACGTTAAGATACTCGGGAACGGTATGCGTGCCGACATTTCAACCGATGGCGCAGCTTCGTCAGCATGCCCTTGTGGTATCGACGACGACAGCCTACTGCTGAACAACGACTTCCTGTTGTAATGCGCGCGTACGTACGGTCGGAAGGCGAAAGGTCGGCGGGCAAACGCTTCTTGGTTTGTCCCGACGGGCCGCGGGGGCTCAATGGGGAAGAATTTGAAGCCGATCTGATGCCGCCAATTCTCTTTGAAGAAGCCTGGGCGCTGAATCGTGACCTTGATATAATATCTTATCTCCGCCTCTTGCGGGAAGCCGGTGAGAGAGGGGGGCAACGTGGTCTTGACATGCTTCAGCATTAGCTGCCTTGTACCGTCTATAGTGCGAAACCTGCCGCCAGCCATGCCCAAAGCCCCAGCAGGACCTGAGATGCCACCCATGCCAAGCAGGGAGCCCGTGGCCTTAGAATCATGACATATGTTGTTGAGCGGCAGCTTGAAGCTGAAATTGAACTCGTGCTGGCCGGCCTGCAACGGTACTGGGGCCCCATCTTCCGGGTAAGCCTGGTAGACACGATACAGGATCTTGTGGTTTTCAGTTTCAATGTTACCAGGATTGCCGACACCAGGAGTTCGTGGATGATAGAAGTCGTCTCTGTTGTTTGGAGGTATAGTTAAGGCGGTGCGGGACTCGCCCTCGAGCTTAACAATTACATTGCCAAGAACCTCAAGTCGATGGAGGGTGAGAATAACACGGCCTCGAATATAGTCTAGATTTGTATAGAATTCGGGGGGGTTATCAAGGGATATGCGGATAGCCGACATTGCGACAAAATACAACCTACAGCAAAGAGGCTAGGAGGGAGTAAAATGGACAGGACTCTTATTACAAATACGTTTATATAACTTTGTTAAGCGATTACATACTAACATATTAAGATACTAAGAAAGGGACGACATCGAAGCTATTTAAGTTATAGTAATAAGGCGTATTTCTAACGCTTTACGTAACCTTTTTAGCATACCTATACGCTCTCATAACCTAAGATAAAGCTATCGTAACCTACTTTATATATTAATTTCTCAGATTTCCTAATATTACTTATTACTTTCTTAAAAGTAAAGCTATTATAAGTATTTTATAGATAATAATTCTATAAACTTCCCGTATTATCGAGCCTTTAACGGCTTTATAAGGCCGCTAGTAACGTTTTTAAGTAATAGTATATATTTAATCATAACGTAGCCGTCTTTAGTCTCTTACTAAACGTAATAATAATTCTTACGAACGTACCTAGTAATATTATACCTAGCTTCGGTAAAAACTAACGTATCTACGTCACATTCATTACCCTAGTAGACACTACGGTTAGAGAGGGTACCAATAGGTACTAATCGGAAGACGCAGGGAAGGTACGGTACCGAAGTATCCTTTCTAAAATAACGTTTCTTTAGTCTTATTACGTAACCGACGTCTTTTTAAGATCCCGGCGTCGGGATTTTATCCGATGCTTAGCTACCTAACCGACGACGGAAAACCTAAGAATATTTAGCTATAGGAAAAGGAAACTTATTAATCTAATTATTAAAGTCTATATAAAATAAAAAAATATCTCTTTTATAAATAGCTATTCTTAATTCTTTAATTATCAATGTAAATATATAGTTTACTCTTAAGAACTATCTTAAACCGGAATATTAAGGAGTAAATAAAGTATTAATTATATAATTATAACTTAATTTCTTAATATATTACGACTTATATATAGCTATATTATATTATTAATTAATATAGCCGGGTTATAATACTTTAATAATTCTTTAATTTTAAAATTATATACGAAGCATATAAACGATCCTTTACAGGAAAACGAATGATTAGAAAGTAACCCTCCGTTAAACGATAGATAGTAATAATAATGCTTTAAAGAAAACGACTCTATAAATAACTCGACCCTTTTTACTAAAGAAGTAGAATTCCCTAAAAACGATTTAAAGAGCCCGGCGTTCCCGGAAAGTCCCGAAGAAAAAGAAGAAGAATTAATTCGAAACTTAATGGAATTAAATATTAACGACAATATATTTATATTAAAAAAACCGATCTAATACTTACGAACCCCGTCCTAAGAAGTAATAACTCCATAACCCTATAACCCCGTTAACGGTTAAGGGATATAAGTTAAAGTAACTAAAGAAATATAATAAAACGGAAGTATCACGGTTTCAAGAGCTATTCGCTAGGTAAAAGGGTATAAATTAAAGAAATAAAGCTATACGAGGAGAAAAAGGAAGGAAGGTACGCTTTACTAAGGCCGCCCCTTTAAGAGTTAGCTATATACAGGAGAAGCAGTTACGTATCTTAGTATTATATTAATTAAGGTTTTATAATTAAACGTAACTTATTAATTATATAAGGGTTTTTCCGTTCATTAAGATATTTAAATCGTTTTTAATTAATAACGATTTCTTCCTTTTTAATTAATTAACTTTCTTTTTATTCCTTCTCTTACTTTTCCTTTTAAACCTCTCCTCCTTTAATAATAATAATAACTCTTCCGTCTCTATTACTTTAATTAACGTAAGTAAACCTCTTTCTTTACGGCTATTCGTCGTTATTATATTATTATTAAACCCCTCTTTCGTCGGGATATAGCTCTCCTTTTAATTCGCGCGTTCCGTAAAATATTCGATTAATTTCTAGTTAACGTAGCGTCAATAAATATCCTTTCCTTTATTTTCCAACTCTTTAAAGTTTCCCGCTCTTACCTTCCGTCGCTTAATACGACGCCTTATACTTATCCTTTCCGTCGACGAGGGTAATAATAAAAACGCGAATAATATCGCCGCCGTAACGGCTTTAATAAACTTAACTTCTTTCGTTTCGTTATTCTCTTTATTTAATTACGTATTAATCGGGTTTGTAATTAAAAAAACGCTTTCTTTAATTCTAAATCTACCGTTTAAAAGACTATCGTTTTTCTTTAAACTTTTACCGCTTTACGTACGATTATTATCTCTCGTTTAATTGCTACCCATTCGGCAGGCGATTACGCCTTTCCCTATTATCATTACGTAAATATTTTACGTATTTATTACGATAAGAAGGATATATTAATCGCTTCGCGCGCGTTCGTTATTCCTTAGCCGTCCGTTTTATTTTCGACGAAAAGGCCGAAAAAGCCGATATTTTCGAATTTCTTCCGGAAAAGAAAGACGACAATTATAACGGTAACGACGATTAATCGCTTCCCCCTTTTTCTTTCAAAAAAAGAAAACCCCTTTTTTATATAATCAAATAACGCCTTTATAACGTTTAAAAAAAAATAGATTTAACCTCGCGATCCGGTTCTTAGGTATTCCGTTTTTTAATGAATCATAATTTTAAGTTCTTTTAAGTTATATATTTTTCTTTTAAACTATCGTTTACGGTTATTAACTTATACTTATTCTCGTAAAAGTTTAACGCCTCCGTCTTTATAAAGTCGGATAATAAATAATAAAAGAGTTTTCTAATAGCCCTTTTAACGTATTAAAATCTTACGTTATTTACCTTTATCTTTTTATTTCTTACGTAAAGGATTTCTTTTATTATAAATTTATTAGACCTTTTAATAAATAATAAAGAGGATTATAAATCGTTTCGGATTTAATTTCTTAATTCGTTCGTATACGTTTTCTATAATTAATCGACGTAAAATTTATTATCGATCTCTATAAAGATATCTTTTAATTTAATTACGTATCGATTTAATAGTTTCGTTACCGTATACTTTACCTTTAATCAATCGAGCTTTTTTAAGTTTATTCATATTAAAATAAATAAATCGAGTTATACTTTATCGTTTTTATAAAGGTTTTCGACCGGAAATCGCTTTTAATTTACGTAAAATTCGTATTATTAAGAGGTTACGATTAACGTTATTTATACGAATTCTAAAATTACGTAGACCTTATTTATAAACGCCTTCGCTTAAAGTTCCGGCGGTAAAGGTATTATTTCCGTATTCAAGCCGGCGGAAAGCGTAGGCACAGGATTTAAATCGAAGCTATATATTATAAAAAGAAAAAAGAAAACCTTATAAAGATATTAAGCCGTTCGTTTAACGCTAATTAAACGATAAATAACTATTATATTTAATCGTTTTATTCGTAAATAATGTAGCTTCGTAGTACCACTTATATCTCTTAATTAATCTTCTTAAAGCTTCTATTTATTTAGATATAGTAAGCCGTATTTAGCTTTTATTCGATACTTATTAAACAGTAAAGATAACTTTAGAAATAGCTTAATTAATTCGATTATTTATCGCTTACGATATTTTTAATTAGTTATAATATCGGATATAATACGTCAAAAAGCGCTCTATATACGCTTTTACGTCCATAATAAGTATAAACTTAAGGATCAAGGTTTTATTTAAATGCTTTTTAACTATTCATACATATCGGTTACCTTTCGATAGAGGTAGGTTTATAATAAAATTTATTTATATATTCTTAAAATAATAATTAGATATAAGAAGGAATTTAAGAAGCCTTTTTTATATATATTTTATAATTTAAAGCGGCCGTAAACGTTATAGTTACGAATAAACCTCCTTACGTATTAATAAGGTATCGGTTAATAAAAGTTCGGCTTAGGATCGTTATAATATCTTTTCGACCGGAATAACCGATAATATATAGATCCTAAGCTTTTTAATTATTTCGTTCGTAATTCATAACATTAATCCGTATCTAAGGAGTTTATTTTTACGTTTCTAAGAAACGGACCTTTCGATATTTATATCTAGTTGTTGGATAATAACCGTCCTCCGGCGTTTATCGTATATTCCGTGATTTATACCTTTAATTTTATAATCGAAACAAAAAGATGGGAGCTTTATTTTACCGTTTAATACGTTTACTAATATAACGTATCAAGGTACGCTGTTCTTTTTTTATAGGGATTAGAATTAGTTATTTTCGAAAACTTTAACGTGGGGTTTAACAAATCAAAGCGTTATTATTACGTAGGTTTATTTTCGAAAGATCCCTTTAAAAATAAATTATTAATATCGTAATTCCTTATCGTTTATATTTAATCGGGTTTAATCCTTTTAAAAGAACGTATTAGGAATCGCGATTTAATTACCGGCGTAATATACGAGGTCGAAATTATATCGGGATAGGAGCTCCGCTTAACGCGTTTATCGTTTTGGGAAGCGTTAACAGGTTATAAAATATTCGAGGTTTTTATAATTAGTTAGGATAATAATTCTTTTACAGTTTTTTCATTCGGCGTTTTATTATTATAAATATTTAATAATAATTAATATTTCATTATCGTAAGTCGGGTAATTAATTTCGGCTAGTCTTTACTTTTAAAGTTAAAATGTTATTATTTTTCTTTCCTTCCTAGCTTATTAGGTTAATACGCCGTCTAACGCTTACCTTAAATAATCTACCTTTAAAAACGTAGGCTTTTTTAAGTCTTACTACGTTAAAATAAATACTAATATAAATAAGGTCTTTAAGCGTTAAAACGCCTCTTCGTAGATAAGTTATTATTTAAAGAATTAAAATTTTTCTTAAAATAATAAGGGGGGCGATAATCTCGGAAAATCCGGAAATAAATATACGGTAATAATTAATAAACCTTAAGAAGTTTTTAATTTTTATAAAAATGAAAGTTTTTTAATTTAATATTACTTTTATTTTTTCCGAGGCGGTTTATATTTCCTTACCGGCGTATATAATAAATCCTAAGTATTTAATAATCGTTATTATAAACTCGTATTTTCCAAGGTTTAATTAAAGGCCGGCTTCGTAAAAACGTTTTAACATTATACGTACTTTAATGATATAGTCTTTATAAGATCCGCTCGTATAAATAAGGATATCGTTTATATAAACGTTAACGAAATCGTCGAAAAACTTTTTTA